TACTAGAACTCCTTCGCCCACCACCACCACCGTCCCCCCCCTGCCCCCCCCATTCGCCACCCAGCCCCGCAACCTTTGGCACCTCGGGTAGGGTGAGCGCGTTCTCCTCCAGCGCCGTGTATTTGCCATACCACGGCACCGCCGCCGCCAGCTCCGCCGCCGCCGCCCTCCCGCCCTTCCTCCCGCCGCCGGTGCCGCTGTTCTTTTTTGCCGCCGCCGCGGCCGCGGCAGCCACCGCCGCCGCCGCCGCCTCGCTCGCCGCGGCCGCCTCCTTCGCGTCCCGCTGCTGCGACATGATCAGCCGCTGCCGGTCCGAGCCACTGCTGGAGTCCAGCGCCGGCGCGGGCTCCAGGGCGGCCTTAGCCGCGGCGGCGGCCGCCGAAGCGGCGCCGATGGCTTCGAGGCGCTCCCCCAGGTTGGCCGCGCCGGCCGCCGTCGCCGCCCGGAAGTGGGCCAGGCACGTGTCGAACAGGTCCGAGCTGGTGCGGTGAAGCTGACGCTTGATCTGGGGCAAGTACAGGGTGCACGACAGGGAGGGAAGGGGGGGGGGGGGGGGGGGGGGGGGGGTACGTGCTCGTCGAATCCGGACCACAGTAAAAGCAGGGGGGGACTCCCATCATTCGCGCTTGTGACGTATCATGCACATGTCCTCAAGGAGAGGAGGCAGGAAAAGGTGNTTTGGTGACAAAGCAACCGTGTTACAGAAATGGAGCGACGACGCTTCTCTCTCTTTTTGTTTCTGGATTGATATGGTGGTATATGCTTGTGGTGAACCAAACCAATCGTCATTCTTCACCTTCTCCCTCCGGAGGACGCAGTCGAAAAGGACGCGCGCTCGGTCCAAGTCGGTCCTGAGCTTGTACAGCGACAAGAAGTCCACCCAATGTCCGCTGAAGGAAGAAAACAAAGAAAAATCAGAAAGTTCCAGCGACAAACATACAACAAGACGGGCAGCTCGGCGGTAAGTTCGTGACAAGCGAAGCGGAGGGAGAGGGAGAGGGCGAGCCACATGCGTCACGATGAACGACAAGGAAGGACACATGCCGTGTTCTGGCTTCAGAGTAATCGTGCCTTGAACGTCGCTCCACAGGGTGCGGGATATTCTATCACGAAGTCGCCGCGTGTGGGCGGAGGGCGGAGGGGAGTGGGGGTTGAGGTGCCAAAACAGGATGACTGGACGATCGATGAAGCCAAGCAAGCTTTCGGGAACGGCACCAGCACAAAACGTGCCTGGAACAACCCAACAGGGTCGCAAACAAAACGCGCTTCATCTGGGGCGAACACCAACAAGATAGGACAGCAACAAAATCGTGCTCAATAAAAAATCCTTCAAACGTACACATGACAAAAAAGTCCGTCGAGAGAAGACCAAAAAAACGTGGCGTCATGACACACAAATACATACCTCGACAGCTGCCGCAGGCAAAGCGCCGTGTGCTCCTGGCACGTCACCGCATACTTAAACTTGAAGGGCGTCTTCTCGGCCTCCTCAGGGGGCAGGGTCCGGCAGTGGCGCCCCGCGTTCGCCGCGCACATCGGGTGCATCCACTTCTCGCACACCCGGTCCTGCGCCGTCGCCCCCCCTCCCCCCCTCCGCGCCGCCGGGGTGCAAGGAACCACGGCGCCGTTCTTGCGCTTGCAGATGTCGCACTTGTGGACCTTCTTTATCTCCTTCGGCACGCCCTTGGTCTCCGCCGTCTTGAAGAAGGACGCCGGCGGCGGCTTCGCGCCGCCGCTGTTGACTCCCCCCCTCCCGGCCGCCACTGCCGCGGCCGCCGCTGCGCTGCCGGCTACCCCCAACCCCCCCGCGCCGCCGCCGCCCAGCAGCTTGCCGCCGAGAGCCTTACTGGAGTAGAGCCTCTTCCTGCTGCTGCTCCCGCTACGAGCGGTCGCGCTTTCCATGTCTTCGTCTTCTTCATCCTCGTCGTCATCGTCGTCTTCCCCCGTCTCCTCCGCCGCCGCCGCCGCCGCTGCCGCCGCCGCCGCTGCCGCCGCCGTCGCTGCCGCCACTGCCGCCGCTGTCACCGCCCCGGCAGCCGGCTTCTTCGCGGCCTTCCCCTTGCCGATTTTACTCTTCGCGGCCTTGCCCTTACCCTTCTCGCCCGTGCTCGCCCTCGACGTCCCGGCCGCATCAGCACCAGCACCAACGTCCCCGTCGCCGCCCTCCACCTTCATCGGGCCCCCCCCGCCCCCGCCGCCATCCGGGGCAGTTTCGTCGACCCCGCGAGGGGGCGGAGGAGGAGGAGGAGGAGGAGGAGGGGGTGGGAGGGGGTCCACGACCCGAGCCCCCGGGGTCCGCTCCGCGCAGTAAGCGTGGCAGTACTGGCTGCCCTTGATCCGGAGAAACGCACCGCCCTTGCGGGGACAGAGCGTGCACGACGGCCTGCTCACGCGTGCTGTGCACGGCGCGCAGACCCACTTCTCTCCCTTGCCTGGTGGGGAGTGGTACCGGGGGTCCCATTCGAGTTGTTTGGGGATGGGCGCGGGTGGTGGGGTTGACGTCGGTAGAAAAAACAAGGGGTGGATGCAACGAATGTGCGACACAAACGGGTCCTCTTCAAGAGAAGGATAGTGTCAACTGCCGCTCCATGTGAAGTATTGAAATCTGTTCTAGAAGGTCTCCTCTGATCCCAGCGAGGGCCAGCACACGACACGACCGAACCACCAGAGCAGACCTAGATGACTTCGGTCTCGTCTTACCTTCATTTCCAGACCCTCGCCCAAAATCTCCTATGCGAAACGAAGCTACGCGGCCCTAACACGCAGTCGAAGCGCCCAAGCATGGTAGCAGCTTTGCCACCCACAAGCGTCACCCACACGTTTACCTCATCTATCGATTCCGTGAAAAAAAACGACGAACGAACAAACGACTCCACCCACTCGTGCACCGCACCGAGACAAGGGAAGGAACAGAAAAGAAACCCCGGAATCGTGTCCTATCATTCGCCCACCTGCCCCCGGACCGCCAACCCCTTCCGGGACGCCGTAGCACTTCCTGTGCACCCGTACGCCACACTTGGCACATTGCACCAAGTCCTCTTCCGCCGCCGCCGCCGCCGCAGCCGCAGCCGCCGCCGCCCCCGTCGCCGCCCCACCCGCCGTTTCGCCGCCCCCAGCAGCGGCTCCCGCTCCCCCTCCTTCAGTCGCGGCCGCTGCCGCAGGCGCGGCCGCGGTGGAGGCCCCGGCGGCGGCAGCAGCGGCGGGACCGAGGAGCACGGGCGCGGCGATCTTCATGCACACCGCACAGGCGATCCTGTCGTACGAGTCGGGGTCGAGCGGCCTTGGGCCGGAGACGCGCATGGTGCTCACGTTGCTCTGCTTCTCGCGTTCCGCCTTCTGCTCCTGTTGTACACGTCAGACAAGGTTTGATTTTGAATACTCCAGAATCAAGCTAAGAGGAAGAAGCAGTAGCAGAAACGGGTCGCTCAAGCAAAAGAAAAAAAAGAGAAGCAAGACAAAGCACACACCATACGTACGTACTCAAGAGACGGCGATGTGCTGGGCTTTCTCGACGAGACGATCTTGGAATCAGCACGCCATTTCTCCACAACTTGACCATCACAATGATGATGATGATCATCATCATCATCGTCATCGTCGTCATGCCAACACCCATAGACACAACGGCAACATGGAACCAAAGATCACCAACAGCAATATCGACACGAACACCACCACCAACAGCAACAACGAAACCTCTTACCCTCTTGAGCTGGGCCTTGGACTTCTTCTTCTTCTTTCCCTCCACCTGCCAGGCGGGTTGGAACTGTCCGGTTCCGCGCGGCGAATCGCAAAAAAAAAAAAAACGACGCAACACCAACAGAAACATCATGAACAAAAACTCTCCTAACTCTTACGCCCAAGAAAACGTGGGAAACAAGAGCACGCAACCCATGGTGTCGGTGCAAAAGCAGGAACGAACAGAGGGAGCACAATCGCTTTCAAGACCGGTATAGCTACTCCAAGTCACTACCCTTGGCCTTGCTGTGGGGTTGCACGGACACGCACACGTCAAACTACACGAAATTGTCCCGGACTTGGAACAAGCACGGCAGCTACAGGGAGCACCATCCACCATCACCACCACCAAGCAAAAAAAAAAAAAGAAGGCAAATTTTGAGAGCATGTGTCCAAATAGATGCATCTAATAGTACACGAGAATCTAACTGGCAGGGTCGACTGCGAATTTCACGCCAACTCAGTCTGTCGCAGCCGTATCTATGCATCCTAGGAAACGCCACCGGGGCATCACAGAACTAACGCCAATGGATGAACGTACACAACAGAGAAGGCAGCAACCATGTACCTGCACAACAGTCGGACGGTCCTACATGTTTCAGAAAATGGGACAGGGTGGGTACGTCGTTCTTATCCGGCTGAGAGCTACCGTCTTTTTTCATTCGTCCATTGGATAGCAGCCCGTTAGCCCGGTCGGCGCCAATCACAGAACCACACACAACCAAGCGCGTTTACGTCTTTATTCCCACCACCACACACTGACGTCGTATCGCTGGAGAAACGATGCCATACTCAAGAACCACACAAGCACACGCACACACACATAAACACACCTTCATCCGGTACTTGTTGCGCAGGTCCCTCTGCTCCTCCCACGTGGTGCCCCTCACTACCCCTCCCGCCGTCTCGCCCAGCGAGATCGTCCCCGGAGGCAGCGCGTCCGCGTCCGCCAGCTGCTGCACCGCCGCGGCCTCCGCCGGCGCGCCTTTCCTCCCCGGGGCGCCGACGGAGTGCTCCAGGCACCGCGCCTCGACCGACATGCCGGCGGGGAACCCGTACCTCGGTTCCCCCGGAGCCGGCCACGCCTCCATGTCCCCCGACAGCCCGCGCTCCCCCCTCGTGAAGGAAGGGTCCGTCACGTCCACCTTCACGTACGCCCCCGCGAACCAGGCGCACAGAAAGTGGAACCGCTTCCCGCACACGGGCCTCCCGTCCCCCAAGTTACCGTCCGCGGAGGGGCCCCCGCTGCCGCCGCCTCCGAGGACAGGCCCTTCCCCGTGGCGGAGGCACCCACCCCCGCCGACCCCGCACTCAGTGATACCGCAGTCTAGCAGAGCCCCGTCCGCGACGCCGCAGAAGCAGCACTCAAACACCCGGTTCGGGACATTCCGCTCCTGGGGAACCGGTGGCGGCGGCCGCGTTACCTCCAACATGGCCCCCGGCCCCACTGCCGCCGACGGGGCGGACACGTCGACGACGCTAACCTCCTCCTCCATCGCCAGATGGTTCTGCTGGTGCTGGTGGTTCTGGTGTTGCTGCTCATGAACCGCGGCTACCGCGGTGTTGACGGCGTTGGTGTTATGCGCGAAAGGCTGTGGTTGCGGCTGCGGCTGCAGCTGCGGCTGTGTGCTTGCCACCTGCTGCCCCGCCGCCTCCACACTCGCCGACCAATTCCTCTGCGCCGCAGATGCCGCTACCGCCGCCGCCGCCGCCGCACCGCCTCCTTCGCCGCCGTCCCCGCTGCTGGCCTGTCGCGCTTCCGCCGGCACCGGCGCCGCCGCTGCCCCCGAGGACTCGCCCGCCGGTGCCGACGCCGGTCCTGCCACCACCATCGCCATATCGGTGCCGCTGCTGCCGCCGCTCGCGACAACGTTAGTGCCTGCTTCCGGTCCTCCGGCTCCAGCTCCGGCTCCGGATGACGGCGGAGTTGTTGCTTCCGCCGCTGGGAGGAAGAGCTGCTTCGCGGCAGCTTGCTGCGCTTCCAAGACCGTGCGGTTGAACGGCAGCAGGTCCGGCAAAACCGCCACGTCCGTGTGCACCTAGTTTTCCGAGAAGGGGTAGAGAGAGTTTGGTTTGGTTGACCCAGGTGTGAAGGCCGTGGTGGCACGAGGGAGAGACAGATTGAACGAAGACTCGAGCATATACCAAGAACAACTTCGTCACCCGGCAATAAAAAACGTCACACAACGTCGGACCCCAGGTTCGCACGGCACAAGACGAAACTCGCGGAAACAACATCACCACCAACAGCAGCAGCAACACCCCCGCCCGCGACCGGAGACAAAACAAACACCAATTCCGGCGTCCTCTCTACACACAACCACAAAGGAGACAACAGCCCCAACATATAACATACAACATACAACACGACAACACGACAACATACAACATACTACATACAACATATACAACACGACAACATACTACATACTACATACAACATACAACACGACAACATACAACATACAACATACAACAAACAACAAACAACATACAACATACAACATACAACACGACAGCAGCAACAGCAACAGCAGCAGGTGGGCAAGTTTCATTATCATCATCGTCACCTCTGAGATATCGATGCGTTTCTTGTGCTTGAGATCCCCCATCCGCACTCCCGGCGACATGAGCAGGCACGTCATGTGCGCGAACCGGCCGCACGTCGTTCGCTTCAAGGCCCCGTGGATGTTCGGGCAGAGGAAGCAGTTGACCTCATCCCCCGTCATCTGCTTCCTGTATTTCACAAGCGCGCACCCGGCCGACCGACGAACCAAAGGCGTGGGCACGCACGTACACAGGAAATGCTCCAAACATGAGGGACAGGAAAGAACCGAAGCCGCCGTTTCCGCACCTGATCGACCCCTGAGCTTGCGATGGCTTTTTCGTCTCTGGCTGTTCAAACACATTGAAAATTCCGGACAGAGGTGTAAATATGTACGAGATAGACTACCCGGAAAGCGGTCAAGTCCGGTGACGTGACTCCAACGACGTCAACCACCAGCCAGCCGCAGCCCCAGCTACAAGGTGCTGTTCACCGCCAACTGCTCACCACCGAACAGCACGCCTACAACAAACACCCGAGGCCGAGATCCAACAATTGGGGAAACTAAATCCTGTCCTCCCATCAAACGCTACTCACGACCCGGCTTCCAGCTCTCTCAGCCTCGTGCAGCGATCGCAGACGAAGTCGGCCTTTGGGTCTTGGATGCCGTAGCAGTCCGTGTGCACTGACATGTCGCACCCGTCGCAGTATACGATAGTCAGGTTGCCGGACTCGTCCGTCGAACCGTCGAAGCACACCATGCAAACCTGCAACGTCGTTCCATATTCGCGGCATCGTACACATCGTTCCAGGTCAGTTCGACACCGCGAAAAACGGAACATCGGACAACATGCATCATGGGGTGGGAGACAGGAGGGGAAAACGGAATCGTCAGACATTAACACACATCATACATAAGTCGTGTTGTTTTGCAGAGCTCACCCCTCGCGTTCCAGAGGTTGTGCATGGAAAAAGGACGCCAAATTGGGGGCGATGGCGGGGGATAAGGAGGTGCTACATTGAATGTCATCCACGGCGGCGATAGAGGCTGCTACTATACTACACTGCCTTCTTGCGTACGTATACACACTCAAATATTCAGTCTTGCGACAATGAAACCGTTTTCGTCTACAAATTCAAATACAACATTGTGTACGACACGACAACCACACCAAAATGCTCACCCACCCCTCCCCTCCCCCCTGATTTCCCCAAGAGCCTTGCCACGCCTACCATCCTAACCTGCATGATGGTCACTCGTACATGTATCATGCCTCTCTGCACCGATGAACCCTGATACCACGCCTCTGCATGAACCTTCCGTGCTCGTGTGTGCCGATCACCTCCTACACCCAAAAACAACCCCCAACACAAACCCATTTCATCAACAACACGCTCAAACATAACCAGCGAAACTGCGGTTCGGCAAAAATTAAAAAACACTCACCGCATCTTCCTTGTTCGCCTGCTCTACCGCCGCCCTGCGCTCGGCCTCGTATTCCTCCTTGCTCTGCCGACCGTCAACATCGCGCCGCCAAGATGCTGGGATGGAGCTCTCGCAGTCTGCCACATCGACCTTTGCGTGGGTGGGTAGGACGGGCAGCGGGCGGACGGCGGGGGGTATGCATCCCTTGTTTCCTCCTGCCTCCACTCTGTTGGATACGGCTGGCCGCAAAGCCCAAAAGGGGAAGCGCCCTCACTTTCCCGTATGCCCACGTGCTAGTAGCAGAACCAGCACCAAGAAAAAAAGCAGCGTGGTATCTAGAACCTCTGTACTCACGCACCGCTATATAAGTAGTTGAGTTTTATCCTCTACGCAGGGCCCCCTGCCCCCCGCGAACACGCAGACACGAGACACACAAACCTTGTTGAAGTTAAGGGGCCGGTCTGCGACGCCGAAGTGCAGCTTGTTGTACAGCCGCTTCCACATCTGAACCCGGCAGTATCTCGTGTACACTTGGTCGTTCTTGACTCTGCAGGCGTGCACGCAAGCCCACATGGTAGACGCACCGCCATCGACCAAAGGAATGGATCAACAACGAGTGTACGGCACATGCACCGACAACAGACAAGGCACCGCCGTGATTCCAACCGGCGCAACTAAAACCTAACGCGCTAAAAAATAACCCATGTACTTGCAGCTTCTCCCGTGTGGCGGCCCCGATTCAAAGGCTCTACCTTTCAGAGGGACGAAATCGTGATCATACCTAGTCTAGTAGAGGCTGCGTGTCACAAAACATTGTAAATGGGATGCTTCAAAGCATCGTTCAGCGAAATTGATGAGCTTTACAGCAAAGCAACATTCAACCCAGCTGGTGACACCGACCAGTCATCAGAACCACGGCCGAGTGCTCTGCAATGCACTGCACTGCACTGCCATCGACAAACACCCGACTACACCAGACCTACGCACGCAACCGTATTTTGAACGAGACAGCCTTGGGGACAAACACCACAAACAACAGAGCTCGGCGTTTCGGGTTGGCGCTTGACAAAAATGCATTGCAGATGCGGCCGACCTTATCAGAGAACAAGCTCAAGTATTCAGTAAAAACAGTAAAAAAATCAACTTCGGGCCGTGCATCTACAACTGACCGGCGCTTTGCGCAAGCCTAGTTGTTATCCACTCACGCAAAGCTGGAGGCCTCTCCAACCATCGGCTCCACAATGGCCCGGATAGGGTCGATCCTCTTCAAGCAACCCTCGGTGTTACCCCGCAGCTTGTCCTGCTGCAGCTTGAGCGCCTGGACAACCTCGTCGTCCATCACGGGCAGAGGCTCCGCCGCCTTCATCACCTTCTCCGCCCCCGCCGCCGCATCCGCCGCCGCCACAGCAGCGGCGGCGATGTCGGTGCTGTCATCCGCCGACGCCGTGCGAGCAGGTCTTCCCCCCGGATCCGCCGCCGCCCCATCGCCGCCTTGATGCTCCCTGCTGGCATCGGCGATGACGGCACCCCTTGGCTGAAACCTTACCTCCGGATCGTCGACGTCGTGCTTCGTCCATCCCTGGAGTGCCACGAAGAGACTGGACGCATCGCACTCACTACCATCACCGCCGCCATCTCCGTTCCCATCCCCTGACGATGATACGGCCTCCTCCGTTCCAGCCGCCGCGGGCGGAGCCGCCGCTATGCCCGGCAAAAGAACGCCGTCGTCCCCACCACCGGCTTCCCCTGTCGCGCTCCGCTGCTCCTCTTGCCCCCGCGGCTTAGCTCCCACCAACAGGCCCGGGTACGCCCCCAAGTCCAGGTCCAGCTCATCGTCGGCCGGCATCTCGAAGCGCGACCACTGCACGCCGCCCTCGGCCCGCTCCTTCTCGATGGCCCGCTCGTCCTCCAGCGTCTCGGCCACGCGGAGCGCGAACCGGCACCCCACCCGCAGGCTCTTCCCCCTCTGCAACACGAGCCCCACCTGGCGGTGGCAAGTGGCCGCCACGCAATCCGAGTCCACGACCGTCGGCTCCGGGCGCGGCAACGCGTCGGACGACGTCGACCAGCCGCCGCCGCCGCCGCCGCTGCCGCCGCGGCCGCCACCGAGGCGTGCGCTGCCGCGGACAGCTCGCGCCGAGGCGGGAGGAGACTTTCCTCTCCTGTCGGCGGCGGCGGCGGCTCCGCTTCCCCCGCTCCGGCGGCGGTGAGCGTCAAGCCCGTCGTCGTCGTCATCGTCGTCGTCGTCTTCGAGTGCGCCGCCGCCGTCAACGGAGACGGGGTTTGAATCGTCGCTTTCGCCGCCGTCCTCCCGGCTGCCGCCCGCCGCGCCACCCCTCTGTTTGTGGTCCCAAAATAACGCGAAAGTGTCGCAGCGAGTGATGGGTTTAGCAGACAGGTGAGGCACGGTGAGAATGTGGGGGAGAGGGGGGCGGGGGACCAGACATGCAATCAAGGCAAACACAGAAAGAATCAATTTCGACTTCGAACGCCATGGCTCAAAGTCGAGTACCACTCAACGAACACGCCACAGACCAAATGCCCATGCATGTGGGATCGAAAGACAAAAATTCAACCAAGAGTTGCGGCGAAAGACACAGGACAGACAAGTTCTCAAAAACAACCCCTCAAGTCACCGTGCACGCTCGCACCTTCGGGCTGCTGCTGCTGCCGCCGCCGCCATCCTTGGGTTGCTTGGCATTATCCCCCCCGGTCTCCTTATCCTTTTCCTTGTCCTTTTCCTTGTCCTTCTGGCGGGGCTCGGGGATAACGTAGGCCGGGTCGTCGTCCTTCGGCAGGTGCTCGATGTCGAGGAGCTTGCCCAGCCAGCTGGGGCTGTGTCCCTCCGGAAAGTAGCCGGCCATCACCTCCCAGAACCTCTCGCAGGTGAGCGACTCCTGGCCAATCCGAGGCGCGCCGGCCTTATCCTGGTGAGCAAACGCAGAGAGAGAGAGAGAGAGAGAGAGAGAGAGAGAGAGAGAGAGAGAGATTTGAAAAACGAACGCTATAGCATGTCGACGCTGCTGCTGAGAGTATCGCACTCAAGCAAACTGTTTCCAAAACTCTCACGAGAAGGTCCCGCAGTCATGCCGCGTGTATCGAGAGAACGTCCTCCAAGCGGCTACGGCGCACGGAGTCCTGGCCGACCCTAGCCTATCGTGCAACGGCAAATAAGAGATGCAGAAGGCCGAACCAACAACACGCCTAACAAGAGGCGTGTCCAGATTGGATTCCAACGATGACCACAACAACGAGGGTACAAGCTTGACAGGCTTTCGTCATAAAAGAAATCAGCAATGGGCTGGACGTTGCTGCATTCTTCTAGACACCGCTCCGTGTTACGTATCTATTCATCCCATGCGTGATAAAGCTTCACCCACAACCGTGTACACGCATACTGTACATCCATTGGGCACGGGGGGGGGGCGGGGGAGAAAGACAACGTAACGGCACAAGGAGAGTAATTCACCAACATGCAGTACTCATTAACACGCCAAGAGGGACTATGTCCAGATGAACTTTTCCCTCCAAGAAAAAGAAGCATGAAACCTTGACCCACCCAAAATGTGTGAAGGACCAGGTTGCCGTCGTCGTCTATGTCGGGGTCCGCCCTCCTCCCCATCAGGGCGCCCGGCTTATCCACGCAGTCGGGCTCTGGCTCGCCCTTGCCCTGCTCGCGAAGCACAAAAAGCACACGTGCATTTTGGTGTTTCAACCCCAACTGAGATTGACGTTTTTTCATTGGTCAGTCGGTTGGTGCCATCTACGCCAATAATATAAAATGCATATGCGCACACACCACAGGCGTTGTTGTTTAACTACCGACGACGGACGTCTTTGAATCATTGGTTTAGCCGGCTACAAAGCGCAGCCGATGCAAGATTAATCAACGAATGTTGATTTGTTTTCGTCTTGTCGCTCAGCCAGTCAGCATGGTCGATGCAAACTACGCCACACCAGAGGACCCAACGCCCACAAAAAACACCACCGTTTTGTTTCAGCAGATAGTCAGGGACGAGATGTATCCATGCAGGCGGCAGCTTCCCGACCACACGGCACAATACACGACGCAACTACCCGAAAAGCTTTTGAACCATGCGAAACCTTGCGTACCAAAACACCAAAGTACCCGAAACAGCGGTGTGACCTTCGACTCAAGGGTCCTAAGTGCGTCATGATTTCCCTTTTGTTCTTCGTATTGTCATGCATACATGGCTTCTAACATTACTCGTAACTCACCTGCCGCACGGTAAACACACCAACGATAGAATCACAAATACCACCCCCTAGACTAAAGAGCAACGAGCAGCAGCAACACTTCACCAGCAAGGCATGAACGACAACGACAACCCCAGCAGCAGCAGCAGCAGCAGCAGCAGCAGCAGCAACAACAACATCAACACCACCACCAACTACAACAACAGCAGCAACGACAACAACATCAAGACCAACAGCATCACCGACAACGACAACGGCAGCAACACTCACCGCCGCATCTGTCGCGCTGCCGCCCGGGCCAGGCCCGAACTTCCTCCGCCGCTTCCGCCCCTGCTGCACGTGCGGCGACTGCGGCTGCTGGTCCATGCCCACGCAAGCCCCCCCTCCCTCTACGTCGATCAAGCCGCCGGGAGAACCGTCGCGGTTTCGCTTCTTGCTGTTCTTGCCCTTGAAAGCCTTTCGTGCGCGTGTAGCGGAACGGGAAAGGTGCAGGGGAGGCGGCAGCGATAAGAGCATTACAGTCATAATGAAATCAGTATCATGACCGTACACAGCAGAACTACACCCCATACGCACAACATACTCATCGCAAATATAACAAGGAATTGGCGCATTCGCCACAAGGGGGGGGTACACAATATCAGTCCCCGGCCCAGGACCCAATGCGCAAAACAATGGACAGCAGTGATATCGTCCCCGCAGAAAACGAAAAACCTAGAGTGAGTGTAGCCTGCGGAGGCGTGGGCATATGCTGCCCCCCCCCCCCCC